CCAAGTTGGGGGGCGGGGGATCATGGGCTACAGATAATAGTTTGGGTTTTCGATATCGATGTATTTTTTGGGGGGCATGGGACATGCTGCTGCTTTTCGGATGTTTCCCCCCTCCCCCTCGACTACCCCCCCCCCCCCCCCCCCCCCCTCACCTCTCGGCCCACGGCCCACACTCCGTCTGCGGCACCCACTCGACTGAGAGACCATGGGCACAGCGTGCTCGTGCTGCCGCAGCAGGCGACGGGAGCTGCAGCTGAAGTTTGGGGCGATGACGCAGACCGGGGCCCGGGCGGTGAATGAGGACGTGTTCTCGGTGGTAGCGGCTCTGCCACTGCCCGGGAGGTGGCGAGCGGCGAACGGTGCGGGTGGCCTCCGGGTCCGCCCAAGCCTCTTTGCGGTTTACGACGGTCATCGCGGGCCGAGCGCCGCTCGCTTTGCCCGCGGGTACATGCCATCGGTGGTGGCGCGTGCGCTGGCGGCGATGCCGTCGCGGGTCCGCCAAGCGCTGGCTGGCGCCCGCCCGGTCGACGACGACGACGCGGTGGTGCTCGGGGAGGCCATGCGGGACGCGTTTGTCGCTACTGATGGAGCGTGGCTTGCCCACGCCCGTCGGCAGTCACCGCCGCTCTCAGACGGATGTACCGCGTCGGTGGCGCTGGTAGCTCCCGGTGCCATCGTCGCTGCCGCTGTCGGCGACTCGCAGATCCTGCTTGTGACGGTCGATGAAGCCGAGGCTGGAGCCTCGGGCTCGAGCTCCGACTGGGGCTCCTACGATGACGACGTACTGAGCGTCTCGTCGTGGATCTCGATGAGCTCGGGCAATAGACCAATGCAGCCACTACCAGGCTACGGGACTCGAAGCTGGCGAGCGGAGCTGGTTACGCCACAGCACAAGGCACGCGATGTTGGCGAGCGCAAGCGGGTCCTCGCCGCTGGCGCCACAATCAACGGCCCATACATCGGCGCCGAAAGCACCTCGCGGGCCATTGCGGTATCGCGGGCGTTTGGTGACATCGAGCTGAAAATCCCACGCGGTGCGCCGCCGGAGGAGCTCATCATTTCGCCGATTCCGGCAGTGTACACCCGCCCGCTGGACGGGACCGAGGCCATGCTGATTGTCGCGTCCGACGGGGTGTGGGACAAACTTTCGCCGGCCAAGGCGGCGTACCTGGCGGCGGCGTCGCTGTTGCGGGATCCGTCGCTCTCCCAAGCCGCGGCGGAGGTGACCAGCGCAGCGATTGCCGCCGGCTCGTCGGATAATGTGACGGCGGTCGTCGTCGTCTTTGGCAAGCAGAACCACGAGTAGAGGACGTGTGTTATTCGAGAGAAAGAGCGATGCTCCCCTGGCCTACGACTCGAGAAGGAGCGTGACGACGTCATTGATGTCGATAAAGCCGGCCGAGTCGACGGAGATCGACGAGAAGAACTCGTCAACCTCGGACGACGAGAGCTTGAGTCCGGCCTTGAGCAGAAGCATCTCGAGCGCGTCGGCATCGAGCTTGCCGGTCTCCGGCCGAGGGCCAGGTCCGCCACCCACAAGCTCCTCCCGGCCCTGGTTGCGGTCGAGCGTGGCGAGCGCCGCAAAGAGCGAGTCCTTGTTGACAAAGCCCGCCATCCGCGAGTCGATCATCGTCACAAACTTGTTAAAGTCGATCTTGGACGCGCCGTTCGATGCCTCGTCCCACATCTCGGCCAGCTCCGACGAGCCCTTGCGGCATCCAAACGTCGAGCACGCGTTCTTCACGTCCGCCTGCGTCACAAAGCCGTCGTTGTCCTCATCAAGCGCCTTGAACAGCGACTACTCCCACGCGCCGTCTCCCAAGTTGTGAGTCCCTCGCACAAGCCGCAAGCATGCATGCGCCTTCCTCCCTCCCTCCCTCCCTCCCCTCCCTCCCTCCCCCCCCTCGCCTCTGACTTACCTTGTACTCTTGGATGTTGCTCATCGACATAGTGTCCTGTCCGTCTCCCTCGCCCAGGTGTGAGTCTCCCCCTTTGCCCTTTCCCCCTCGTTCCCAACGGCAGGCGAGCCACCGGCGCCGCATGAGCGCAAAAAAAGAAAGCACACTACCCTGGCTACAGACGGCTTGCTCCTCATAGCTACGCCTTGTACAGCCGGAGCAAGCAAGATGACAATGCCATCGATGCCTCCACCCCTCCCTCCACCCACCCACGTTCATCTCCCCCATCCAGCGTTCCATGAAGGAAGCACTGACTCCCCCCCTCCCCCCATGCGGCAACAATGCACCTGTGCAGGCCGAGTGCCAGGCACCTGCGAATTCGCCCGAAATGCCATCACCAGCCATGAGCGACATGGGCTCGGCACGGGGGGGGCAAGAGCGGCACCACCCATACAGAGTTGCGACAACCAGTCCCTTCATTCCCTCTCCACCCCTTCGTTCCCTCGACACTTCTCATATCTCGCTCTCATCTTCCGTTCTCCTGTGCGTACGTCGTTGGTGATGCCGAAAGACGCACGGCGCTTCTTCCGTCCCGACATGGTCTCTGTGCGGTGTTTTCGTGGTCAAGTGGCTGTTGCCGCCAACGAGCTTGCTTTGCCAGAAGTCACCTTTTCCTGTCATGCACGCACCGAGCCACGGGCACGGGGCATGGATCCCGTGGCAAGCCATGAGTAATGGAACAGTCACCACAAAGCTGACGTTGTCAAAGGTACTACATTGACAACATGTTGTGTGTGTCGGTGATTCCTCAGGAATGGACAGGGCTGCTGCAGTGTTGACCTTGGCTGCGGGGGGCGGCGATGGTGACGTTGGTGGGAAGGACGGAGAAGAAGTTCGCTCGGGCGGCCGAGTTTGTGGCCACTGCGGCGACCGAAGGAGCCAACGGCGAGGTATAGACCGCGGTGCTGGACATCATGGATGCTGCAGCGGCGGAAGCATACTTTGATGGCGTGGAGGACCGGACGATCAACCACCTGACCATCACGGCTGAGCCGTCCAACTCGACCGGTTCGAATGGGGGGGGGAGGGTTGTGAGGGCAATACCGGCCGACGAACCCGGCTCGAGATCAAGCTCGTGGCGCAGCTGACAGTGACAGTGGTCTCGTTTGCTGCTGATAAGCTTGCCGAGGGCGGCTTGATCGTCCTCATCTCGGGTGACCTCGTCAAGCGGCCTGGGAAAGGCTAGACGGCTTTAGCTCACAGCTTCCAATCGGGCGCGGCGGGCGACATGGGCCATGCCATCATACTCTTCCTCACCAACACGTACGTCGCCGGCGTAACCATTGATATCGATGATGGCGCTCTCACCCACCCATGATCACCCGATGCCCGAACCCGTGCGGCCGAGAGGCACACCCCGACTCGGCCGTGGTCCAGGAGGCTCGACAGCTGCACAGAGCCACCTGACTCTCTCATCATCGACATGTACGCACACGGTGCCCATGCACCCATGGACCCACTCCATGCCCATGCCCATCCCTACCACCAACCACCGTTCCATGCCATCCCCTTCTCCCACTCCCCCTCCCCACCACTCCCTTCCAAGTCGTCGTCGCACATGCGAGTGAGCGTGCAGAGAGACTCACACAGACGAGGCGAGGGGGGACAGGGCGACAGAGAGCACTCGGCTGGTGGGAGCCAAAGACGCGTACGGAAGGCAGGTTGCTGGCTACGACAGCTCCGAGACGTTTACCGGAGTGAAGAACCATGGGCGTGGGTGCAAGGACATCCTGTTTGCCATCCTCTTTCTGGCGGCGGTCATTGCCTTTATCGCGGTGACGGCCGAGGGCTTCAAGAAGGGCGATCCACACTCGCTCATCTCCAAGTCAGACCAGGTTCCGACGTCAGCATCGGCCAAGCTCCGGGAGCGGGCCAAGCTGCAGTTCTCCAAGGTGGTGGGCCAGATGCGTGACCAGTGGCGGGTCATTCTCGGCTCGGCCGGCCTCGCGGTCTTCCTCGCGCTCGTCTGGGTCCAGCTCCTGCGGTTCTTCACCAAAGTCTTCATCTACCTCACGCTCCTGCTGGGCATCGTGCTCCTCACTGCGCTCTCGATATTTATGCTTTCAGTCGGCAAGGAACGCAACAACAAGTTCCTGATTGTGGCCGGTATCGCCGGCCTCGTCCTCGCCGGCATTGTCTGCCTGGTCGTTGTGGGCCTCCGCAAGAAGATCGCGCTGACGGCGCTGATGATGCGCGAGGCATGCGGCGGGCTGGACCACAACCCGTCGCTCCTGCTCTTTGCCGTCTTCACCATGGTTCTCTTCCTCGGCTTTGCTGCGTACTGGCTCGTCGCCTTTGTCTACCTGTACACGGTGCCAGACGAGTCGATGCAGCACTCGATGTACTTTTGCGTCTTTTGCTTCTTCTGGTTCTCGGGCGTCATGGCTGGTGTGTTTAAGACGACCGTCGCCGGCGGCATGGCGTCGTGGTACTTTAGCCGGACCGTCGGCTCGCAGGATCTCGCATCGGACTCGTTCTCGCCAGCGTTTGCCACCTTTGTCCGGTCGTGGACGCTCTCGCTCGGCTCCATCGCCTTTGGCACCCTTCTCACAGCGGTGGTCAACTTTATCAACTGGCTCCTCACCAAGGCCCGCAAGCACTCGTCGAACAAGTTCATCCGCTGCCTCATCGCCTGCGTCCAGTGCTGCCTCGGCTCGATCGAGCGCCTCATCGAGTTTGTCAACAAGTACGCCTTTGTCTACATTGCCATGTACGGGGAGTCATACTGCCAGGCCACCAAGTCGGTCTACGCCCTGCTCAAAGACCAAGGCATGTCGCTTGTCGCCGTCGACTTTATCTCGGACTTTATCCTCTTTGTCGGCAAGATCGCCGGCACCGCCGCGTCCACCCTCCTTGCCCTCGGCATCCTCCACTCGCGCGGCGACTCGGTCTCGGGCCTCACCATCACCGCCATCATCCTCGTCTCGTACATCTGCTTTGACATTGTCGCCCACATTCTCGGCATGGGGGTCGACTCGGTCTTTACCTGCTACGCCGAGGATCTGGCCCGCAACAAGGCCTCGGGCAACTACATCATGTCGCAGAACGTCCATGTTGAGCTCCAGGCCGTTGCCGACTCGCATGCCGTCAACTCGTAACAAGCACACTCTTCTCCCCCCCCCCTCTGGCCGTCGTTCCTTCCACCGCTGTTCACCACTGGCCACCGACTTGCCCACCGACTACCCGCCCCTCGCCACCACCGCCATCACCACCACCGTCAGCACTCCTCTTCGCCAACCTGCACCACTTGACGGCACACATTTGTACCACCACCACCACCCACCACTACCACAACAGCAGCAAACAATAGCAGCAGCAGCAGCAGCAGCAGCAGCAGTACCCCTCCTTTGTCAAGGTCTTGTTCAGGCAGCGAAAGTAGGCACAGACCGTTGTTCGCCAGTTGACAACCATGGCGAGGAGAACATCATCCAAGGGCAAGAGCAAGGACAAGGACAAGGGCAAGGACAAGGGCAAGGGCAAGGGCAAGGGCAAGGGCAAGGGCAAGGGAAAGAGCAGGAGTAGGGGCAAGGGAAGCAAGAGCTCCCGCTCTCGTCGCTCAAAGTCACCGCCGGAGCGGACCCAGCTGACCGAGTTCACCACCAAAGGCAAGAGCAAGAGCAAGAGCAAGAGCAAGAGCAAGAGCAAGAGCAAGAGCAAGGGCAAGGGCAGAGGTAATGGATCGGGATCAGACTCAGGATCGGTCTCGGGTGGAAATCGGGCATGGCGAGTCCCGTCGGACGAGCTGTCGTCGTCGTTTGACGAGTACGATGCCGACTACTTTCGTGTCGGCACGACCAAGCTCGGACGCAAGCTGAAGCGGGCGGCGATGCTGCGGGAGCAAGGCGATTTTAAGGGATCTCTGAAGGCACTGAAGCAGATCTCGCGGCGGTTCCCGGAAGAGTCGCAGGTGTGGGACGAGCTCGGGCTGACGTACATGGCTATGAGCGAGTTCTCCAAGGCCTACGACGCCTTTACCGCCGCCATCGAGCACCACCCCTCGTTCCTCATTTACGGCCATCGCGCGTTGTGCGAGGTCCGCCTCGGCCAGTACACGCCTGCGCTCCACGACTACGACACCGCCATCGATCTGGTGTGCGACGACTCGCGGGCGACCAACGATATCTTCAACGAGCTCAAGCACGGCCGCAAGCTCGCCGCCAAGCTCGCCCGCCAAGAGTGGTCCGCCTCGGAATCGCTCACGGCCTCGGGCTCAGGATCCTCATCATCTTCGTACTCGTAAATTCTCCCCAGCCGAAAAGCCATGTCACCATGGGCCACCCAACGAGTGCCGTTTCCCAGGTGTGCTGCGTTCTGTCCCGCCACCCCGCCCTCCCCACTCACCCCTCGCCACCTAACCACCTCACCACCTCACCACCTCCCCCCTCCCCCCCCTCCATTCCCAACTCCGGTGGTCCCCCCTCCCCTTCTTCCTTGGCTACCCCCACGTCGCCCTCCCCTGGGTGTGCTCCCTCCCCCCCCCCCCACCTTTGCCATGTCCTCGGTCTCAGCAACACGCTCCGCCACGCCTTCGTCAATTTCGTCGTCGTCGTCGGCGGCTCCGGACCGAGGCTCCGGGCAGATGTCTCTCCCACGCGCTGGTGCGTCGTCGCGCCCGCTGTGGGCGGTAGAGGGCCGACAGCCGACAGGCAGGCATCTTCGATGCCCAGCTGCGGCTGAGGCTGAGGCTGCGGCTACGGCTGGTACGCCCTCGGCCACCTCCCAGGCAGACTCGGCCGCTTCGCCCTCGCTCTCGGTCTCGGTCTCGGTCTCGGACGTGCTGGCGTACTCGCTCTCGCTCGACTCGTCCACCATCGAGGACAAGCAGCTGTATTCGTACTCGTCGGCGTCGTCGTCGGTTAGCCCGTCTTCTGCCTCGTCGGCGGCGTCCTCGGGCTCGTCGGCGTCGTCGTCGGTCTCGGCGGCGGCAGCGGTGGCTGGCGCGGCATCCCGCTCCCGCTCGCGGGGTCAAGGTGCGGGCGCAAATTTGCAGGCGCGTACGCGACGCAAGCACAAGAAGAAGAAACGGCGGCGGAGCAAGGTGCTCGACGCCCCCGGCCCATCGGGCATCGATGAGGCGCCTGCGTCCAGCGGGCGACGCAAGAAGAAGAAGAAGCGCAAGCGGCGGACCGACGATGCCGCACCGACGCCACCGTTTGCTACCCCACTGGCTTCACCGCGCCACGAGGCATTTGCAACACCGATGTCAACGCTGGCGTTCAAGACGCCGCTCCCACGCGTCTCGCTCAAGACCAATGCCGACGGCTCGCCACGGCCAACCCGTGGCTCGTGGCCGGTCTTTACTGCCGCCGAGGTTGCGCTCAACTCGACGGCAACGTCGTGCTGGCTCTCGGCCAATGGCAATGTCTACGACGTGACGCACTTTCTCGACGACCACCCCGCAGGCCCTCAGTGTATCTTGGGCCGGGCGGGCGGCGACGCAACAAGGGACTTTGAATTCCACCTGTCCAAGGGCAAGGCCATGTGGAAGCGGTTCCAGATCGGCGTGCTCGACACAAAGTCTGCCGGTTGCAGCATAATGTAAAGCAGCCCGAATCCAGCCCGCCATCGCCAGCTGCTGTGGCGAGAGCAGAGAAGCCCGGGCCCGGGAGGCAACGGCCGGCGGCCCAATCAAGCGGTCGACGGCGCGGCGGCATCAGCATCATCGTTGTCGTCACCCCAGTCCGGATCGTCGGCAGGTACCGCGCTAGCGCCGGCTTTAGCCTTCTTCCCGGCGATGGAGGGACCTTCCGGAAGTGAGGCGGCGTTGTCGCGGAGCCAGATGCCAAGACGGCGAACGACCTCAACGACGTAGTCCTTTGCGTTGCCGTCGGTCACCATGGATTGGGTCTCCTCCAGCGAGTTCCACGTCCGCTCGCGAGCCTTGCGCTCCTCCCACTTCTTCTTCTTCAGCTGGTTGGTGGTGAGGAGGACAAAGAACTCGATCTCGGCATCCTTCTTCGCAAAGTAGACTGATCCCAACGAGTCGATGATCTCGCCCTCGACGCCAGCCTCCTCGCGGGTCTCCCGAACCGCAGCCTCCTCCGCTGTCTCTCCCGCCTCCACCGTGCCCTTGGGCAGGACCCAGTTCTTGCCCGACTTGCTCGATGAGACCAGCATGACCTTGACATTGCCCTTCTTGGTCACCTTGATCGGCACACACCCAGACTTGGCCTTGCGCAGAGACATGCTTGCGTACTTTCTACTTGAGTATACTTGCGTTGCGCAGTGAGTAGAGAAGTCTGCTCGCTTTCACACCCGCCCCCTTCCCGTCCTGCCGTCTTATTGCCTCGAGTCATGGCATCCTTCCCGCCCGCTGCCGACATGATGAGCCGAAGCGGGTCGGTTTCCGGCGGCGACTGACCGCGGTTCAGATGCCGCCCCTGCCCCTCCCGCCTGATTTGTGCTAGTCCTTGCGGGCGTGGGCATCAAGCTGAACCCAGATGACCATTACTTGTTGCTAGACCACGTACAAGGGTGGTGGGAGTGGGGGTCAATCGATCGCTTATAGATCGGTCCAGGTCACATGGCTTCACATGGCCTGTCATCAGACCTGATCAGATCAAACCAGATCGGACCAGACCAGATCAGTTCAGATCAGACCGCCCACCCACCACCACCATCGCCCTAGCCCCGCTGGCAGGGGCAGGGGCAAGGCCACACCTCACTCCCCCCCAACCCCCCCCCCCTCTCAAGTAACCACCCGCCATGAAGAAGGTCATTGCCCTCGTGTCGGGCGGCAAGGACTCGTGCTACTCGATGATGGAGGTGGTGGCGCAGGGTCACGAGCTGGTGGCCATTGCCAACCTGCACCCTGTGGACGAGGAGACGGACGAGCTGGACTCGTACATGTACCAGACGGTGGGCCACTCGCTGATCGCGGCGTATGCAGATGCGCTTGATGTGCCGCTCTTTCGTCGCGGCATTGCGGGCTCGTCGGCAAACAAGGACAAGGTGTACAGACCGACCGAGGGCGACGAGGTCGAGGATCTCCGTGCGCTGCTGCTCGAGGTCAAGGCTGCTGTGCCCGAGGCCGATGCCATCGCTTCGGGCGCCATTCTCTCCGACTACCAGCGAACCCGGGTGGAGCATGTTGCGTCGTCGCTCGGACTTGCCTCGTTTGCCTACCTCTGGCATCGTTCGCAGGACCTCTTGCTCGACGCCATGATCGAGTCCGGCATAGACGCCATCCTCGTCAAAATCGCCGCCATGGGCCTCGCCGTCGACCGCCACCTCGGTGCGCACCTTGCCGACATCCGCGACCACCTGTTCTCGCTCAACGCCAAGTACACGTCGCACATCTGCGGCGAGGGCGGCGAGTACGAGACGCTCACCCTTGACGCCCCGCTCTTCACCTCGCGCATCGTGCTGACCGAGACCACCACCGTCGTAGTCGACGAGTCGATGTTTGCACCCGTCGCGCACCTGACTGTCAACGGCTTTACCCTCGAGGCGAAGGATCCCGCAGTCAGGGCGGAGCAGCTTGCGCAGATGCGGGGCGTCCTGGCGGCTTCGGCTGCCGCCGAGATCGAGGCCCGCAATGCGCGGCGTGCCTTGCCCGGGCTTGCCGCCGCCGCCACCGACACGCCACTCGCGGTCCCGGCCATGGTCGGCTATAGCCAGGCCGGGCAAGGTGGCGCGCCGCCGGCCCAGCTGCGGGTCACCGCACTCGCGCCCGAGACGCGGCTGGTGGCGCTGCAGGCGTGGAGCGCGCCGGCAGCGTCACTCGAGGACGAGGTGGCGGCGGTCATGGGAGCACTCGCTGACGGACTGGCGTCAGTTGGCGCGAGTTGGAGCGATGTTGCGTTTACTTCGATCTTCACCCAGGACCTTAGCCAGTTTGGTGCTATCAACGCGGCGTACGGCCCGTACTTTGGGGTCAATCCGCCTGCGCGGGCGACGCTCCAGCTGCCGCTCGCCGGTGATGCTCGGCTCAAGATCGAGATGTGGGCAGCGGTCAACTCGTGCACGCCAGCCACGCTCCACGTCCAGTCGATCTCGCACTGGGCGCCAGCCAACATCGGCCCGTACTCGCAGGTCAAGGACGTCGACGGCGTGCTGCTCATGGCCGGGCAGATCGGAATGGACCCCGCGTCGATGGTCATTCCGCAACCGGCCTCGGCGGCGGGGGAGGCTGTCCAGATTGTCGCCAACATTGATGCCGTGCTCGAGGTGATGGCTTCCGGGCCAGCCGGCGTCGCTTCGGCGCTGGTTTGGGCCAACAGCCTCGACGACGCTGCCAACGTGTACATGCCTGCGTGGCGGGCGTACCTTGCCGACGCGGTCACGGGCATGGCGGTGCTCGCGCACTCGCCGTTCCTCCCGCGGTCGGCACTTCTCGAGGTCCAGGTCCTGGCTGTCACGACAGCACTCGACGACGACCTCTCGCCGGTCACGACGGGGAGTGCGGACGGCGTCGCGCCGGGCGTCAGCCTCACCACCGCCACGCGATCGTGGAGTACGAGTGCCGGCTCGCCTGCCTCGCTCCTGCTTGCCAACGTGTACGCTACAGACGGAAGCTGCGAGCGCGACGCTGACGCCGCTGTGACCGCACTCGCCGCGGGCCTGGTCGCTGCCACCGAGCGCGCCGCTGTGCCGCCGTCGCTGGTCCGGGTCTACCTCCCCACAGCACTCGACGCCAGCGCAGTCCAGGCCGCGCTCGACACCGTGGCAGTCTGCCCCGTCTCGGTCCTGCCTGTCGAGGGCGCGGTGGCGGTGACGTTCGACGCCGACTCTTCGCTGGCAAGTGTGCCCGACGCCGGATCCATCATGGCGGTGCTCGAGCTGTCTTCGCTTCCGTAGCAAGCAGGTAAAGCACAGCAAGCAGGCTACGATGACGACGATGACGATTCATCAATGACAAACGCGACGCGCGAGGCACGGCGGGCCTCGGCCTTCTTGGCGCGTTCCTCGCGACGTCGCTGGCGGTCAAGCTCCTTGGAGGCGACGGCGCCGATCTCCGGCGACTTGCCGCCCGAGTCGCGAGCACGGGCATCGGCGGCGGCCTTGCGAGCCTTCGTCCGCTCGATGTCGGCAAGAATCCTGTTGCGCTTGCGAACAATGCGGGACTCACGAGTGCGGCGGGTGAGGACTACCTCGTAGACGATAAAAAGGATGGAGACCCAATTGGCGACGGCGGCCGCGACAATGAGGAAGAACGAGTACGAAAAGCGGCCATAGCCGTTGTCTGGGTCGATGATGGTCGCCTCCTTGTTGTACTGCTCCACGGCCTCGTTGAACTCGGCGTAGTACACCAGGTTTGCGACAACAAGGATGGTGGCTGCCACAGCGAGGAGAACGCACCCGGCGTACCACTCGCGGTCGCCCGACTCGGAGCCGAGCATGTCGCAGCACCGGCGGTAGGCCGGCCACAGCAGGTAGAGGAAGCAGCAGATGGCGCAGATCTCGATCAATATGGCGACAAACAAGAGGACAAAGACCTTGACCGAGTCGACTCGCACCTCACCCTCGGTCTCGCGGCACTTGTCCGACACCACGGCGCCCTCGGCCCGGACGCGCGAGCAAATGGTAAAGAGGCCGACATCGACCTTGATCTCGTTGGTGTTGACCTCTCCACGGACAGTGATCCACCCCAAAGTCGCCATAGCCACCACAGTCATGACCACCACCACCACTGAAATAAGGCACGGTGTCCACACCAAAAACACAGGCCGGTCTTTCTCCTGCACTCGCTCCCCGTCCGTAGAGTCGTCGCGCCCACCCCGCCCGTGTCCCACCCCGCCCCCGCCGCGCCACCCCGCCCATACGCCAGACGTGAGTCAGCCGTTGCCCCCCCCCTCTACTCCCGCCTCCCCCTCTCTATCGCCTTCCTCCCCTCCGTACCGCCACAAACAGCTCCTGTGCGTCCTCGTCCACCAGCTCGAACCGTGAGGCAGCCGGACGGGGCACCAGTGCCTCGGAGACCAGCACGTTGAGGTGCTCCGAGAGCGAGTCTGGCTGCGACGGCTGCGACGGCTGCGACGATGAAGACGACGAGCATGCCGACGACGAGTATGACGAGTATGACATGGTCGAGTCCAGTGGCGAGCAGTGTCTCCCACTCCCACTGCGGAGGTGCTGACCCGGATACTAGCTCGCCAGACTGACGTCGTGTCGGACAGAAGCACATTGACCGGAGCGCATTTTTCTTCATCGCGCCTCTCGACACGATGGTTGATGCAGCAACAATGGCTGCATCTGACTGTGTCACTACTCAACAGATCGACTCTGTCTTGACCTTGGCATACAGGGATTGGACTCTGGGGCTCTCTAGCTGGACAGCCGAGCCCGGAGCGGACTCTTCTGTCCATCGGCCATGTCTTGGGTGGTTTTCGACAGAGAGGGCCAACCATGGTCTCGAGAGTGATCGGCGATACTCGCCCCTCACACAGCGCGTGCGGGGGAAAGGGGGAAGGGGGGAGGGGAGGGGGGGGGTCATTACAGCGGCTGTACTTGTTTCTTGCAAGACAAAGGAAAGGGGATGATAGCCGTAGTTGCGGAGCCGAAGCGGCGAATGGAGACTCAGTTGACCGGCAACGAGTGAGTGCGGAAATGGGTGACGGCGGGAGACGGACAAAGGTGGGACGGGAGGGGGGAGAGCGGAAGGGGCACCTGACGCCACTCATTGCTCTTGGCTTATGTCATTCTTCACAAAGTCGCCTGTGCAGGTACTTGTGGACAAAGCCACTGGAGAGCTTCTCATCGGACCAGACGCAGCACTCAATCTGGAGATTGCAGAGCTTGTCAACACCTCTCCTAATGCGTACGCGAGGAGGGTGGGAGGGGGGGGGGGGGGTGGGACGGGGGCGGCAGTACTTATGTGTGGTTATGGTGAGAGGGGGATAGGGCCAAGGATGCGGTGAAGCAAGTGAAGAAGAGGATGAAGAACAAGAACCCTAAGGTCTCGCTCCTGGCGCTCAATGTGCTGCAAGTGCTGATGCGGGAGGGCGACCAGCGGCTGTATCATCAGGTGGTGACGCAGAAGATCCTGGGCGAGTTTGAGAAGATGATCGCAAAGTCAGATGCCAACGATCGGGTGGTGACCAAGATCCTTGGGCTGGTTGCCGCCTGGGGTGAGTCGTTTAAGGACATGGAGACGTTCTACATGTTTACCCAGCTGCAAGCCAAGTTTGCCCGCATGGGCCTCCCGTTTCCGCCGCGCGAGCCGGATGCGGTGTTCCAGCCACGAATCTCGCACGCCGCCACTGCAGCTAGCGGAGCGCACCGATCTGGCCACGCCCGGACCGGTGACCGGCGGCGGAGCGGCTCGGGCTCGCGGTCGCGATCGCGGTCGCAGGGTGCGGCGGCGCAGCCTGTCGACCCGGCGGTGGCCGCAGTCCAACTCGCCAACGAGCTCGAGATCATCAACAACAACATCATGCTTCTGGCCGAAATCGTGGCCTTTGCCAAGCCTGAGGACGACCTCACGCAGAACGACCTCGGCATGGAGCTATACCGCAATCTCAAGGCCGCACAGCCGCGGCTGAACACGGTCATCTCTCGCACTGCCGACGAGACCAAAATGTTCTCGCTGCTCGGCGTGGCAGACTCGATCAACAGCGTGCTTGACGACTTTGAGCGGGCTCTGACCGGCGAACTTGCGGCGACGACGTCGTCGACGGCGTCGGCAGACTCGGACGACGGCTCGGACGACTCGGCCGCCGCCGCCATCGCCGCTGTTGCCGCCGCCGAGGCCGCCGAGGCCGCCCAGCGTGCCGGCAACACCACGACCGCCCCGCCGCCGTCATCGGCGTCTTCCATTCCGGTCCTGGCGCCGCCACCCGGCTCGCGAGCTGGAGGCTCGCCAGGTGCAACGTCACCGCTCGCACCCGCCGCTGCTGCAGCAGGCTCGCCGGGCGGTTCGCTTCTTGACCTTGGGACGCCTTCTCCGGCAACAGCCGCGTCTCCTCCGCAGGCGGCGGCTACCACAACCGCAGCATCGCTGATGGACGTGTTTGGTGCCAACCCTGCTCCGCCGCCGTCGTCATCCAATCAGACGCCGCTCACCGCGGCGCCGTCGCTCTCATCCGGCGCAGCCGCACCGACCTCGATCGCCGCCGAGTTTGACACCTTGCTCTCGGGCACCGGCTCCACGCCGCGGTCTGGCGCCGCCGCACCTGCAGCCGCGCCTGCACCTGCTGCTGTCGACGAGTTTGACGCCTTCCTCTCCTCACGAGTCGCGTCGTCGCCGCCGGCTACCGCCGCCGCCGGTTCGCCGTCGCTCATCTGATTGGCACTGCGGATCATTACAAGTTTCGGCGTTCCTCACACACCTGACCCAACTGGATACCCCCCCCCCCACCCTCCCCCCCACCCATGGCCCATCCCCACTCTGTAGCTCCACAGCTGACGGTCTCGGTTGTGTGGCAGGATGTTGATGAAGCGCAGCGGCTGCAGCAGAGTGTGGGGCGTGCAGTTGGCGGTGCTCGCCGGAGAGGCCGGAGTGAGCCTCGCGACAGAACAGAGAGCGCTTCTTCGAGCAGGAGTGGAACAGGCAGCCGAAGCAGCCGAAGCAGCCGAAGCAGGAGCAGGAGCAGGAGCAAGAGCAGGAGCAGGAGCAGGAGCAGGAGCAGCATAAGCAGTGGTGGCAGCTTGGGATGCGGACGCAACGCTCACCGGGCGACGACACTGTTGCCGCAGGGCTCGGCGGCGGCGCCACTGCTGGCAGCTGCCGACGAGGCTATCGAGTTGGAAGGCAGCCGAACGGCGAACGAGCTCTCGCCGCGATATGCCTCGCTGCACGGCTTTGCCGAGCATCAGGAGGCAGTGACTCGGCATGTGTCTCGTGCACTGCGCGGCGAGTCGGGGAGCGAGTCGTGGGAGAGTGAGAGTGAGTCAGACGGCCGATCGGCGGCAAGCGGCTGGTCGGGAGCAGACGAGGTGCCTGGCCCGGCTGACGGGCTCACCGTCTCGATGTCGGCAACGGTCACATACTCGGGCGATGCCGAGGCAACAGTGACCGAGCTTGCTCCTCCCCACAAGATCATGACAGGCTCGGATGGCCGTGTCGGTACAGCACCATCAAGTCGGCAGGGTGGCGACGGACGGATCCGGTTCGAGGTGGTGTGTAAGGACCTGGCCGTCATCCCGTTCTCGGACCTGACTATTGGGCCGCTGCTTGGACAGGGTGGGTGCGGGACGGTGTACAAGGCGACGTGGCAGCACGCGCCTGTGGCAGTCAAGTTCCTCTCCAAGGCGCATTCAGTCTCGGTCATCCAGCAGTTCCTGGCCGAGATCTCGATCCTCTCCGAGAAGCGGCACCCCAACATTGTGTACTACATCGGCATGTGTCCGGAAGAGGAGCACGTTGCGCTTATTACCGAGTTTATGCCCGGCGGTGATCTGGCGACACTCATCCACTCCTCGGGCCTCTACCTCGACCTCTCGCATCGGATCCAGCTCTTGATGGACGTGGCCCGGGCGCTGGCGTACCTGCACGCTGACGAGAAGCCGCACCGCGACATCAAGCCAGCCAACATTCTGCTCTCGCAAGACTACTCAATGGCCAAGCTCGGCGACATGGGGCTGACCGGCGCCAAGACCGGCAAGTACGCCGGCTTTGGCACCCGGCTGTACATGGCGCCCGAGGTCCTGCTTGGCGCCGAGTCGGACGAAACGTCCGACATGTACTCGTTTGGCGTTGTCATGTACGAGGTCCTCACCGGCCGCCGGCCGTTTCACGACACTGGCTACGTCGGGGCCGACGGCCTTGCCCGCTCCGCAGCGGACGATCCAAGTCCAAGTCCAAGTCCAAGTCCAAGACTCGCACGAGAACAGCGAGCCCGACCGGGACCGGGACCGAGCTGCGGCCGCGGACCCGGCGTCGGACCGGTGGACCACCCCGATCGCGCCGGGCCAACGTGTATCAGATGCCCGGACGCATCCCAGCATCGCTGCCGCCACGGCTGGCCGAGGCACTCCGAGCGTGCCTCGATCCCGAACGAATGCGACGGCCGACGGCCAACGCGGTGCTGGAGGCGCTGAGCGCTGCGCAAGAGATGGAGACCTCACAGCTCGAGTCACAGCTTGAGGCGCGCCTGCAAGCTGCGGCGGCAATCCGGCTGCAGGCCGCGTGGCGCGGGCGCCGCGAGCGCCAGGTCCTGCATGCCCGTGGTATCCCAGTCAAGAACGTCCAGCGTGCACCTGGAGCACTCGCCATCCCGTCGTCGCTCCCGTACGTCGAGGACCATTACCTCTCTGGCTCGACGCTCCGGATCCTGGACATGCGACTCGACTTGCTCATCTCACGAATGACGCAGCCGTTTGCGTCGGACGCCGATCTTGTCCACACAGTCCTCTTCACCCACCCATGCTTCCTGCCTGCGCCATCGCTCGTCGATGTACTTATTTTGCGGTTCTCGGCGCCGGTGGCGTACCCTTCCCCGGAGCGCGAGGCGCACTACGCCGATGCAGTCCTGCCCAAGCTTCGGCTCCAGGTTCTTGCGCTACTCAAAGTGTGGATCCTCGAGTACCCGTCGGGGCTAGGTGAGGACATGGACGCGGCGACCAAGCTCTTTGGCTTTCTCACGGACATAGTGGCCGGCGAGTGTGGCGGCGAGAGGCGACGTGGTGGTGGGAGCGTGCGCCCATCGACGCTCGATGTCCTCCAACGTGCGCGGCAAGCGGCGCTCTCGCCCAATGCGTCGAGCTCAAGCCTCGACAATAGTGGCGTGTTCTCGGGACTCGACGACGACCGTGGCACCGGTGGGCCGAGCGAGGTCGGGCACGCAGTCCAACTGGCTGCCATCGAGCTGCTGGACCTGCTCCGGGCGCACCAGGCCGGCTACCTTTCGCAGTATACGTTCTCACTGCACTCGTTCGAGGTAGCGTCGCGGGCACCGGCAGTCATCGGGTGCATCCACAAGCCGCGCTCGCTGCTCGACATCCACCACCTCGAGGTGGCGCGGCAGCTCACGCTGCTGCAGTACCACTACTACTTCCAGATCCGACCGGCTGAGCTGATGGACGCGGCATGGAAGTCGCGGAGCGCGTCGTTCCGGGCGCCACACGTTGTCTCTGTCCTCAAGTGCACCGAGGACATCGAGCGGCTCTTCCAGTCCGAAGTGCTCTCGCTCGACGACGCCGAGTCACGGGCGCACGCGTTTTGTCATGCGCTCGACGTGGCCGACGCATGCTTGGACATGGCTAGCTTTTCGGTCGCACTGTGTGTGGTGCGGGCGCTGACATCGCCGCCGATCGCGCGGCTGCGGCAGACGCTGGCACGAGTGCCTGGGCGGTACCGTGAGCGGCTGGCGCGATTCGAGGCGCTGTTTCTGGTCAAGGCTGCAGCCGAGTACCACTCTATGCTTCAGCACACCAAGCCGCCATTCCTGCCTGCCCTCCCGATCCACCTTGGTGAGCTGAGCCTCCTGCATGACAAGATGGAGACTGTTCAGCGGCGTAGGTTTGTCAATGTGGCCAAGATGGAGGCGTACACGGCGACGATCTCGTCGATTCTCCGGTTCCGAACTCAGCGGTTCTTGTTCCGACCCAACATGATGGTGGCGCAGTTTCTAGAGGGCGCGCCCAAGTGGGAGCCAGAGCGGTGCCACGCGATTTCGCAGGCGCTGGAGGCCGACGGGGCAAGCGGTGGCGAGGTAGTGTGTGTGGAGCATGCGCCTCGGCCGATGCCATTTGTGCAGCCGCTGCTGGAGGGACTGGACGAGCCGCGGTTCCTGGCGCGGTTGTTCCAGGTCATGACCGTCGAACACTTTGACGACGGCGATCGGATTGTGGCCGAAGGCGAGGTTGGCGAGTCGATGATGTTCATCAACCGCGGACAAGTGCGGGTCACTTTCTCGAGCGGAGCGGCGGAAAAGGTGCTGCAAGAGGGCGACTTTTTCGGCGAGGTGGCGCTCTTCCTCCGCGTTCGCCGCTCGGCCTCGGTCTTTGCGGTCAGCTCTGTCGAGCTGCTGGTGCTCTCTGCAGAGCGGGCGAACGAGCTCAGGGCCGAGTTTCCGGTCATGGACACGTACTTTGGCAAGCTATCGCAACAGCGGATGGCGGCGCGGCTCGGCGCCGATGTCCTGGCGTCGAGCTCGGGCGGCGGTGGCTCGACGCGCGAGACAAGCTGGATGTCGCGGCTGGCGACTAAGATCATGCAGGAGGCCCACGACGTCCGGGTTCCGCCCGAGTTTGTGCGTGCGTTGCAGGCACGGCTCGTCTCGCGGCGGTTTCCCGACGGCGAGCATGTCATTGTGGTGGGCGACACCGCGCGGTCGATGTACTTTGTGGTGGAGGGCGCGGTCGAGTTTGAAATGGGCGACGGACGGATGTTTCTGTCTGACGAGCGTGCGTTCTTTGGCGAGCTCGCGCTCTTCCTTGACCAACCGCGCTCGGCCTCCGTCCGGGCCGTCGGCGACGTCGAGGCACTCGAGCTGACGCTGGAGGATACCGAGGCAGTCATGGCGCTGTATCCCAAGATGCGGCGGCAATTTGTTCAGGTCTCGCAGCTGCGAGTCTCGACCGGCTCGCGGTTCCGGCCACCACAGTGGATCCGCGACGTCGCCGCCGCGCTACGGCGCAACTACCTCCTCACTTCGGCCCACCCGTCGAGCGCAGCGTTGGCGGCCGCCACTTCGGCATCGGCAGCGCTCGTCGCAACAACGTCGGCTGAAGCAGTGAGCGGAGCTGGGCCATCAAGTGTGGCCGAGCGACGGCGGCAGCAGCTGAGCCGGTCGAGCAGCGGGCGCGGGCGATCAAACTCACTCTCGGCGCCGTTTCTTGTCGACGAGCAGCTCTCTGCTACCGATCGCATGGCACCCGTCTAGCGGCTTTGTGTGTCCGCGTGAGGGCAGAATGTGCCTCAGAGTACACGTGAGACATCATTGTAGAAGACTCATCGGCAAGTACCACACAGGAAGGGGCTGGCAGTGGAGGTGGAAGGGAGAGAGGAGGGCGAGCAAGGCGCCGCGCAATAAAAAAACCTGTCAGTCGCTGCGTTGCTGTTGGCGTGCGAGTTCGGGCGAAACGGGCGGGCAGGCGCAGTAGTGGGGTCGGGGCCACCTGACTTGGACGTGAGAGAAGAACAAGGATGCCGTACTGCAACACATGCGGCGAGGTGCTGTTTGCGGCGACGTGTAAGTGCGGCGGCAAGTCGACGCAGGGCTCGGCATACGGGCTAGAGGCGGCCGGTGGGATGAAGAACACCGACATGGTGACGGGCCAGCTGGCGGCGGCCGATGGCTACACGGGGCTGGAGGATGGCATCTACGCCATGATGGGCGAGGAGCGGCCACCGCCGCCGTCGCGGGGTATTGCAGAGGCCGCCGCAGCAGCAGGCAGTCGGTCTGAGGCTGTGCCGTGTACCGAGTGCGGCAAGATGGTGGAGGGCCAGGCGGTCAAGGCCGACGGCAAGGTGTACCACACCAACTGCTTCCGCTGCCTACTCTGCGCCGAGCGGTTGACATCGTCATACATTGTGCGCAACGGGCATCCGCACTGCAAGCCGTGCGCAGCGCGGACCAAGGCGCCGCCGGCATCGTCTTCGACTACGACAACCACCAGGACGGTGACCAAGACCACTACGCCCGGCGGCGCAAAGTCGACCGTCGGCGGCGTGGACGAGTTTGAGAGCAACCCGGAGTTCCGGGCCAAAGTCATGGCGACCGAGGCGTGCGCCAAGTGTGGAGTGCCTGTCGCCGGCGCTGCGCTTCGCCACGGAGGCGCTCTGTTTCACGCCGAGTGCTTCACCTGCGCCAAGTGCGATCAGCCGTTCTCGGACGGCTCGTACCGGGGCAGGGACGGCGCGGCGTACCACGTCGCGTGCTACAACGAGCTGTTTGGTGAAAAGTGTGCCGGATGCCAGGCTGCGCTCTCGGGCTCGTTTGTGCGGGTCGACGAGAAGCCGTACCACAAGGCGTGCTTCAAGTGTACCGGCTGCGCACAGCCGATCTCCGGCGGCTTTGACCTTCGCGCCGACGGGCCCAAGTGCGCGTCATGCGCAACTCGGCGGTAGGAGTGGGTCTCTCAGCGGGTGCTGCGATAAAAATACATGGAAGGGCGGGGGGTTTACGGATCGGCGGTAAAGGCCACGTTTGCGATGGTCCGCATGGCATCAGTGGCCGAGAAGACGCCAACCGGAGTGCCGGCAGCATCGACGCACCACAGCCGGTGAACGTGGGCGGAAGCCATGTCCTGGCAGGCCTGGCCAAACGAAGTCGAGGCGCTGCAGACAACAGGTGGGCTCGGGTTTTTGACATGGGTAGCCAGAAAGTTGTGGATCGAGTCAAGGAGCAGCGGGTACGAGTCGAAGACCAGGCCGCGGAGGGTGGTGGCCGAGAGGTCGGCAACGAGCTTGCCCGAGGCATCGGTGACGGCGACTGCAGTCACGTTGTTGGCCTGCAGCCGCTTGAGCGCCGACCAGACAGAGTCGGACTCGGCGACCACCACAAGGTTGTCCGTGTGGTCGAGGCCGAGGGCGGCGAGCTCCTGCTCGGCAAACTGGCCGAGGTGGCCGCGCTCGAGATGGTTGATGGAATCATCGCTGGCGATGCCGGTGAGGTGAGCGAGGATGTCCGACTGCGAGAGGAGCGAGACGACGGTGCCGTCCTCAGACACGACGGGGCAGCGATGGATGCCGAGTGCAAAGAGCGAGAGCGCGGTGGTGATCGGCTGGTGCTTGTGGAGCGGGACGTACGGGTCGCGGCCGGACGCGTCCATGATGTGCTCGACAGCGAGCATGCGGATGGCGCGCCGGAACATCTCGATGCGGTCGGCCTCGTCGGCAGCCATCTCGGCCTCGGACGGCGCAGCGGCCACAATGTGCGAGACGATGTCGAGCGAGTCGACGTGTCCGACGCACGCGCCGTCCTTGACCACTGGCAGCGAGGTGATGCCGTGGCTGGCCATCGACGTGACCACCTCATTGATGTCGTCGCTGGCGTCAGCAACAACCATGGTCAGGTCACGGTTGACATCTCCGACCGTGAGCGTGTGGAGGTACTCGTAGACAGGGTTGATAGTCGACGACACTGGAGGGCACATGGCAGCGCAGAGTGAGTCATAGCGGAGCGATGGGATGATGTAGGACCGAAAGATTACTGCAAGACACTGTCGTACTGTTGTAGGTGATGGGTTGGGTTGTTAGGATGGGTGGCGAGGCAAGGAAAGCGCTGGACAGCTCCAACCTGGCTCGCTTTTTGAATGTCGACACCGTGACGTGCCGGTGCCCGACGTGACCCGGCTGCCTGACCGCAGGGTCAGTCTGGGCCCAGTCGACATAGCCACTCCCGGCGGTGAGCTACGAGTCTACGGCTCGGACTTGGACGCTTTAGACGCCCGTAGCGCAGCCAGCCTCTGGCTCCACACGGTCGGCGCGTCCTCCATTGGGGTGTGCGGGATGCCGAGGGCGCGGCGGACGCGGGGAATGCGCAGCGTAACCGACTGGGCGAGGCCGTAGCCCGACGAGAGCGCCCAGTACCAGGTGAGCCCGGCCGGCATGGAGACAAGCAGCGGGAAGGAGAAGATGGAGAGACCGCGGAGGACGTTGGTGAGGATCTTGGCGGCGCCCTTGGCCTCGGCCGGCGCCGAAAGTGCCATAAACTCGAGATTGGCGAGATTGAGGATGACAATGGCGGTCGGGAGGAGGAGGAGCGGGTCCGGCGCAGCGAGATCGCCAAACCATGCAGTGCCGCCCGAAGCAAAGCCGGCCACGGGCGCGTCGGGCGTGGCGAGGCCGAGCGCAGGGAACGCCGCCATCGACCGGATGGTCAACGAGGCGGTGATCCAGACCGGGATTTGGAGCCAGGGGAGGAAGACATGCAACGGAACAGCGCGGCCGCCAGGCAGCGGTAGGCTAGGCGCTGCACCGTGCTTGGCCGCCGCAACCTTGGCCGCCGCCGCTGACGCCCGCGCCAGCTCGGCCTTGAACTCTTCAAAGGGCAGACCGCGGCGCTTACACGCCGCGGCAGTAGCGATGAGCGTCGCCTGCGCGCCGGCCTTGGCCTCAGCAGCCGCGTTGACAGCGCGGGCTGTGAGCAAGTGCATGGCGGTCGAGAGCGGCGCCGAGAGCGCAGCACGCGATGCAAGCGTTGCAGCTGCGAGGACCGCCCACCACGGCATGCCCGTGCTGGCGTGCACCGCTTCGAGCCCGCTGGCTAGCGCCGTGGTCGCCTCTGTCAGCAGTGTCCTTCTCGACGGCACGCTTGCCCATGGGGCGCAACTGCGTGCAGCCCGAGTTGCAACACGCAGCATGGTGCAGAGTGCGTGGGTGTGAGTGGACAGGGGTGGGGAGCGGGGAGGAGGGGAGGGGAGTGGGGAGAAGTGGTAGGGGTGTCAGCGAGTCGCCGGTGTGAGGGTAACCCATTTGGCGGAGGGCAGCGGGCGAGTGATGGCCGAAGACTTTCTCGTGGGGGAGATGGTGAACGCGAGCGAGGGCATCAAAGTATCCCGGTTGCGCAAGGCGCGTCTGTGCTAGTTGCAGGCGGGCGATGGTGTGGCCGCAGAACGAAACACACAATCCGCTCCTTTAGCTTAGCGTGCCCGCCATATGGTTCGCAGAGTCACTCTATGCGGGTACAGCAGATGTAGGGGAGCACAGGTGTGCCAAACCCATTTGACGACGACACGAACAACTTTGGCCCGCTCGCGGCCGATTCTGCCCGCGGTCAGTGTCACAGATCGAAAGTCGCGCTCCGCGAAAAACAAAAGTCAGAAATTTGTCCCCCCCGTCCTCTTCCATAGGACGGGGGTGCTCAAGCGGAGCAGAGTGACTTTCGGAATCTAAGACACTGTCCGACCTAACAATGCTCGTGGCAGTCACCCAGATTTCCGACAATCTGTTTCCTTTTTAATTTGTAACGAACACGAACACACGACGATGGATGGCTCATGTTGTGACGACGGAGCTTTGCTGTGCAACAACTACGACCGCGTCCGGGCGGCAACGCCAAACCGCTGCATGACCTCAAACAGGAGCTCGGGATTGTGCTTGAGCTCGGCAAATGACGGCTGCTGGCGGACAACCGGGAGATGAGCAACCATAAAGTCGAGGCAGAGCCGCTTGAGGCCGTCGGAGTGGTAGAGATCGGCGAGCATGAGGAGAAACACGACATTAGGGACGGAGATCGCGGTCCGCAGCGTGTCGATGCATAGCGCCTTGAGCCGCGGGAGCGCGTACTGCTCGGCCAGCGGAATGAGTTGCGCCGCAAGCTCGAACTGCCCGCGGAGCTGGACATGGTCGGTGTACATAAACTCGAGGAGTGGCGCAAAGACGGTCGGCTCGACCTCGGGCAGCTCGACAACCGACTCGAGCGACTCGCGCATTGGATTGCGGAACATGAGCCGGAAGGTCTCGGAGCGGGCGCAGAGGATGAGCTTGTGAGCCGGGACTGCGACGCGGGAGGCGCCGACCCGAAAGGTGACATCGGCTAGCTCGGGGCAGTTGAGAAACGCGCGCAGGTCCGAGTCGAGCGACGGCGGCGGGACAACGATGGGCTCGAGCGCAAGCTCGAGCAGGTCATTGCGAAAGTGCTTTCGCTTCTTGATCGAGTCGTTGGCGTAGCCACCAAAAACGACAATGCGGTCGTTGCAGACAACGGCCGAGGCAAAAGAGCGGGCGCGCGGCTGGATGCCGCGGCACTCGATCCGCCGCCACTCAAAGCGCCCGTTGGCCTGTGGCCGGAGCGCCACCCGCCAGACCACCCCGCGCTCGCCATGCTTGCCACCAAACACGTACATGTCGCCGTAGTGTGTCACAGCAACGTGACCCGACCGCAGCTCGGGTGGCTCGCCGTCAAACTCGAGCACCCGCCACGTCCGCGTTGCAAATTGGTACTGAAACAGGATCGACGACGCCGAGAGCGCTCCGGTCTGACCGCCAAACACATACATCAAGCCCTCGTGGACCACAGCAGTGTGGCCCTTGAGCGCCTGCGGCGCGCCGTCGGCGCCCATCACGTCGGCGCCCGACGGCCGCCGCCGGTGGCGGGTCGGCTGCTGCCCAGCCGGCCGCGTCCGTAGAACCGGACTCTCAACCGCAGACACTGCCCGCGGCGAGACTGCCGGCGAGAGCTGCAACACTGGCGGGACCGTCTCGGCAACAGTTTCCACACGCGACCACTCAAAGGTGACCAGCGAAAGTCGGTGGATCTGTGATGAGTGGTGCGTTCCGCAAAAGCCGCCAAACACATACATGGCCCGCTCCGGCTCGACCCCGCCATCGCCCACGGTCTGCCCGGCAGGCGGCCAGACCACCGCCGTGTGCGACCGCCGCCCAGCAGGCACAAGCCCGCTCACTTGCACGGGCACCCACTCGCACTCGTCAAAGTCGAACTTGAGAACGTCGTCGTAGTACGTCCCGCCGTGGCCCGAGTGTCCGCCAAACACGTACATCGCCCGCCCGCATCGCACCGCAGAGTGGTAGAACCGCGGTGCAGGGAGGTCGCCCCCGGGCTCAAGCTGCGTCCACACGTTCGAGTCAAAGTGAAAGACCCAGAGGTCGGCCAGCGTGCCTACCTCGGGATTGAACCCGCCAAACACGTACATGCACCCATCAAACTCGATCGCGGTGTGTCCGTACCGCAGGACAGGCGTCTGCGGCTCAGCCGGCGACACAATCCGCCACACAAACGGATCATGCACCGCCGCTCCGGGCACCGACATGGCCATGCCACCGCCGCTAGGTCCACTCGATCGTGAGACCGCCAGCCGCGGTGAGGTCGCCGACCGCGGCGCCGCCGCTGTGGCCCCACCCGCTTGTGCTGTCACTGCACTCGCCACCGCCGCCGCTGCTGCCGCCGCTGCACTCACCAGCGACGGGCTCGGTGCCGCTGAGACTGACCGATGCATCGTCGGGCTCGCCGACGATCCGTCCATCCTCGTCTCCGAGTCGGACGACGATCGGACTCGCCGTGGCCGGTTCGGCTGCGGCACCGCCAGCCGCTCTCCCGTCCCAGTCATCTGCTGTGACGAGCAATACGACGACGATGCATCCCGCGCCTGGTTGGTCCGGGAAGAGGTCGATGTTGATGACGACGAGGTTGATGATGACGAGGTTGACGACGACGAGGTTGACGACGAGGACAGTGCTCGCCGAGGAGGGGAGGACGGCGACGACGAGGTGGTAGGTGCTGTACGTGGCAGGATGGGCGACGAACCTGACGGCGTAGCCGACGACCCGTCCGCCGAGGCCTCCCCGGGTGGGTCTGACATAGGGGACGACGAATGGGGGTAAAGTGGTGAGTTGTGTGGCGTGAGTGCGACTCGGGAGTTTGCAGGTGGAAGGGGGAGGGGGGGGGGGGGGGGGGGGGACAGGGATGGTCACACACTTGACACCCACCCACCCCCCCCCCCCACCACACACACACACATACATACACACACGCGCACACACATTCAAACATCATGTCGGGAGGTAGCACTATGGATAACTTTGTCAACGTCAACATTGCCAAGGTACGGGTGTCGGCCGGGGGTCGGCTGGGTCGTCGTCGTCGTCTTGGCGCCAAGGGAAGCGAGGAGGGGGGGGGGGGGGGGGGGGGGGGTATTGAAGACCACCTACACACACACTAGCACGACTCACACTCATTGACCGGCATTGCGCTCGCGGATGGAATGCTTGGCAACATGGACGGCGTGGGCACTCTCTCTTTGGGCTGATGAATGGGCGGGGGTTGGGTGCGCTGATCGGATATGGACCGGGCTGGCTGGCTTTGCCTTGCCTGTTGTCATGCCGGTGGTTGGATGCGCATGGTAATGGTGCGGGTGCTTCTGATGGGACGGTCTGTGATCGCGTGTAGTTGACGTCGTTCCGTGGCGTCAAGGTTGATGGCACCGGGCCGTCTATCCGTGTCCCGGGTACGTTCACGCTGTGTGTAAGAGATGAGGGGGAGAGGCGAGCGAGTGAGTTCTGACTGACACCGCATGTTGGGGCGAGAGGACAGGCATCGGCGACATCTCGGCTGATGCGCTCGAGGAGGCTGGCATCATGACTCCGCTGCAGCTGCTGGGCCAGTATCTGGCGCTGGCAGACGAGGACGCGTTTGTGCAGTGGGCCACCGAGCTGGGCTGCATCGAGTGGCGGCTCCGCGACCCGACCAAGGGCACCGTCGTCGCACTTCGCCAGATCTGCGAGAAGCTGTTCTCCTGAGCGAGCATCAGCTACTTGGCACATGTAAACTCATCCATTCATCCCTTTACTCCTCACTCTCGCCCTTGACATACCCATCGCCGAGGTCGCCAGTCACCAGCGACGCCACAGAGTTGGTCCGCGAGCCGCCAGCGGGTGGCAGTGTTGAGCCGATGTTCGTGGCGGCCTCGTTGGTCTCGCCGTCGTCAGCCTCAGCCTCGCCTCCCGATTTTGCCTTGACAGACCGCCGCCGGCGCGCCCGCTTCTTCCTCTTCCGCTTGCGCTTCTTGACCAAAGGCACGGTCCCATCGGCAGCATTCTCGGCCCCAGACTCGGCCTTAGCCTCGTCCGCCCCAGACTCGGCCTCAGCCACAACCTCGCCCTCGGCCTCAGTCGCAGCTTCAGCCTCAGCCTCAGCCTCGACCTCGGGCACAAACGACTTGATGCGATACCGCACGGTCTTTCCGGTCATCCACGAGTAGTGGTTCGACCACTTGAACGAGTAAACGCCCGGAACCGGCGCGACAAGCAGCGCATCGTAAACGACGTCGCCGCCGCCAGGCGCCGCGGGCACGCGCCGCAGCGGCACCACCGCCATGTCCTCAGTCAGCTCGGACGAGCGCCAGTAGACGGCAAAGTCGATGTCGAGCGCTGCAAGGCTGAACGAATAGAGGAAGACTGTGTCAGCCACATCGACTGTGAAAGAGACGACGCCCGTGAGCCCAGCGTGGATGAGAAGCTCGCCCTCCGAGACAGTGCCTGGCAGCTCACGTGCCGGTTGCAGGCTCGGCTGCAGGTTGCGCGGCGAGAGGCTGGCCACGCCGGCAGCCAGCTCGGGCTTGGCAAGCAGGCCTGTCATCCGGGTGGCGTCGGCAGCCTCGACCGAGCTGGTCGCCAGGCTGGCAATTGCCGCTGCCACCGCCTGCCGCACCCGCTCGCTAGGGTGCTCGACCGCAACGGTGAGCGCTGCCAGATACTTGGCCGCCAGGCTCGGCACGTCGGCCGACGCCACAGACAAGTTGCGCAGCAAGTCGGCAAAGGCAACCACGTCATCTTCGTCGTCCGAGTTGCTCAGTGCCACAAGCACTGCGTCCCACACCTTGACGGCCTCCGGCACCGTCTCTAGCCGTCGCACCAGCTGCAGCCGCGCCGTGTCGACCGGCGCCTCGCCCTCCCGCCCGGCTCCGCCTACCATCCACAGCACGTTGCCTGCCAGCCCGCCGCAACCCGCCAGCGACCGCGGAACCACATGCACGCCCTCGTATTGGACACTTGTCCACTTGTCGGTGATGAGCTCGCAAAGCGCAAGGTCGCCGAGCTTGCGTCCTTCCGAATACAAAGTGGTAGCGTACGTCCGCCGCTGCTCCTCGGCGTCGGTACCGTCGTCAGCGGCGGCGGCGCTCTCGCCGGCCTCGTCGCGGCCGTCGGCGCGCGCCTCCCATGGCTTGTTGTCAAACGCGACCCGCTCCTCAGCAAGGAGCGACCAGCCGCCAAAAACGCCAAAGGCGTGCGGCCCAGTCCAGAACGCAGCATGCGCCGCCCGCGGCCGCCCGCTCTCGCCAAGCTTTGTCCACGTCCGGTGTCCAAGATCGAGCAGGTACGAATCGCCGTGCGTGGCAAGGGTAAAGCCGCCAGTGACAATGAGCTTCCGCCCAGAGCTTCCAGTCTCCAGGTGCGAGGCCTCCAGCGTGGCGTGGCCATCGCGGAGTGTCGGCCCGTTGCCGGTGATCATCGACAGCGCACTCCGCACGCGTCCATCGTCCTCGACGTCGAGCGCAAGGACCCACACGTCATTGTACTTGTATCCGTCGCAGTAGCCGCCGACAACGACAAGTGCGTCTGGATCGTGCAGCCCGGTGAGCGTGTGCCCGGTCCGCGGCGGCAGCGGCTTGCCCACACACTCCACCTCGCGCCACTCGCGAGTCACCGTGTCAAACGCGTGCAGGTAAGATGTCGGCGTCGAGGTCAGCGCGAGGCCGCCGTGGATGTACAGTGTGTGCCCGACCCGCGCCGCTGCATGCCGTGTCCGCACCGCAGGCACAACACTCGACGACGCCGCAGCTTCGACGACCTCCCATGCCCCGCTCACCACATCGAGCGTCCGCAGCATGTTCGTTCTGCTCCCGTCGGCAAGCTCGCCGCCAAACACATACATCTTCGTCCCGACGAGCGTAACTGACGCACCGCGCGTCTCTCCAGCAGGGTCGGGCTCGACGCCGGCCGTCGCGTTGATCACGCCCGTCACGACGTGGCGGGCCGTCACCGCAACCATGCCGTCGAGCGCAGCGCGACGCACATGAGGTGGGCTCGCCAGCCGTGCCACTGCGCCCGCGAAAAACTCCAGCGCGTCCTGGGCTGCGCCCAGCGGCAGCGCCCCACCGCTCCGCACCATGCCGACAAGGCTCTCTACAGCCAGCGTGTGGAGCGGGTCGCCAGGCGCCGCAGAGTCGGCAAGCGCTGCTACCCGGAACGTTCCACCGGTCTCACACAAGACGCGCCAGACTGACGCATCGCGGGCGCAGAGCAGCAGCGCACGGAGGCCAACAATCTGCCACCGCCTCTCCTGCGAGTACACCAGCTGCTCGAGCAAAAAGTAGGTGCCACAGAGTAGTGCGAGTGAGTCATGCATCTTGACCTCGCTCACAAGCGGGGCCAGAGCCTCGCGCGCAGCCGAGCACACGCTTAGCGGCTCGGAGCTCGCCAGCTCGGCCATGCACGACACAATCGAGACCAGAAACGGCGGCGGCGGCGGCTCGAGGCCAGCAAGCTGAGCGTCAATGTGCGCCCAGACGCCGGCTTCAAACTCGGCCCGATGATGCATCTCCTTGCCAAGTTGCAGCACAAACGAGAGCCCGCCCACAGCCTGAACTCGTAGCTCATCGTCGAGCATGGGGTCAGAGGCGAAAGCCATGAGTGTGTTGGCCAGGTCGATTACCTTGTTGCGGAGGTCAGCAAAGTCGGCCGAGCTCAGCAGCTCGGTCGGATCTTCGACGTAGGAAGCATCCGTGGCTGAAGCCTCAGACGCGGCGATGACCTTGTCCAGCAGCGCCGTGACAACGTCGGCCGCCGCATACGCCAGCATCTTGAGGGCATAGACCTGGACGCCCGGACTGGCGTCCGAGGCCACTCGGCGGAGGCGGGAGACCGAGAAGACACGATACAAGATCTTGCGCGCATCCGCGGTCGAGGCCATGCCTACCAGCGCCAGTGCCGCAGCTTCGGCCGTCTCGGGCCCGGTCCGGCCATCAGGCTCGCACAGCGCCAGCAGGACGACCAGGTGGGCCGAGTCGAGCGCCGCCACAAACCGGGTGGCGAGCCACGGCAGCGCGGAGGCAATCAGCGCCAGAGCATGGAGTACTTGAGTGCTCTCAGCCTCGTCGACCTTGCCTTCGGCGCTGAGCACCGAATCCGCCAGTGCCTGCATCACCCCCACCACCGCAGCTTCGGCCACCGGCAGCTCGTCGCTCTTGGTCGCCCCACACCCGTCGAGAGCGTCGGCGAGGGCGTCGGCGGCCTTCGCCAGTCCGAGCTCGCGCGGAAGGCCTGCTGCCTCCAGGGCGGCTACTAGTGCTTGAGTTGTACTTGCTGCCATGGTGTCGTGCACGTGGGTGCGGCAAGGTGTCAAGTGTGGCCGGGTCTGGTCGCAAGGGGGGAGAGGGAGGGAGGGATCGAACGGGCAGCCGCAACTGACGAGTGTTGACGAGTTCAGGGCTCGGGGCTCGGGAGATTGCAGGATGTTCCATTTGTTTCAGTCTTGTACATCTACATGCAGAGGAAAGATCCGCCGCGTGAAGACGAGGCGTGGCCGGAACCATCGTCGGCGTCGGGATCGCGCTCGTTGACCTCCTCCTGGAGAAGAGCCTCCTTGAACAGATCATAGCCGAGGTACCAGAGCATCATAGCCTTAGTCTTCCGCTTGTACTTGCGACGGATGGCGGGATCCTTGGAGAGCTGTAGGACGTCCATGAGATTCTCGTCGAGGAAGGTCCATAGGTGCTCGTCGGCAGAGCCGGACGACTTGCGCTTCGAGTCAAGGACAAACATGTCGTGGAACTCTTCCATGAGGCGGTTGAGCGGAACCTTGCGGAGGACGGTGGGATGGAGCCAGTTGAGGAACTGGACAAAGTCCTCCTGGAGCAGGTCCTTCTCGAGTGGGGCACTTGGGCTTGTGGGCGAGTTGTAGATGGGATGCAGGCGCCAACGGTAGAGGCGGAACTTGATGGTGCCCTTGCGAATGATGACGACGGCGCCGTGGTTCATCGACTTGTCGGTGTAGTTGGGCGCGGAGAAGACGGTGACAACACCAGGGAACTTATACTCGGGCCCGTAGCGGTAGAGCTCGTAGCCGAGCTGCTTCTGCTCGTGGGCGCGGAAGATGGAGAGTAGCTTGTTGCGCTTGAGGAACGAGGCGACGGCCGGATAGCCAAACGACTTGAGGGTCGAGCCGCGGTCGCACGGGTGGAAGAAAGCGTCCGAGAACGACGACGGCGCCTGCTCCTTGCGGCGCTTGAGCTTTTTGAGATTCCATACGTGCGGGAGCGAGGCAAAGTCAGGCACCTCGTTGTCCTCGTACGGGTCAGTCCACAAGCAGTCCTTGAGCGGGCCGTACTTGGGCGGCTCGTTGAACCTGTTGATGGCCTCGATCTGGTCGAGCTTTTCGATGCGGTGCGAGAGGCCACCATGCATCATGAGGATGCGCTTGTCGGCAGTATGCACAAGAGCGTAGAGCGGCATGGCGTCAAAGCACGCCATGAGCTTGGTGTAGAATTTCTTGCCGTACTTGATGCGGCACTCCTCGAGCGTGCCCATTTTGCGGGTTGTCTTGCGGCTCTCGTGGTTGCCGCGAATGAGGTAGACCTTGTCCGGGTACTTGAGCTTGGCAGCGAGGAGGTAAAGAATGACTTCGCATGAAAAGTAGCCGCGGTCGACGTAGTCGCCGAGGAACAGATACGTGTACTTGCTCGAGATCTTGCCACCTGCCCGAAATATTTCCTCGAGGTCGAAGAACTGGCCGTGGATGTCGCCGACGACCGTCATCGGCTCCCACAGCTCGAGCATGTTGGGCTCCTTGCGCATCAGGCCGCGCGCGCGGTCCACCAGCTCCAGCGCCACAACCTTGGACAACAACTCCTCCTTAAGAAACACGTCGTAGATCACCGAGAGCTTGGGCACGTCGTTTTCGTCAAACACGTCCTCGCGCGAGACAGAGAACTTGCCGGTGAGAAAGATGAAGAAGACCGGCCGCGAGCCGTCGATGCCGAGCTCGGCCAGGCTCGACGTGCCCTGCTTGGCGGTGTCGAGGTGGAAGCCCTCGTAGTAGAGCCGGTGCGCCGACGTGGCAAAGCCGGTCATCCGCGCCAGCCGCTGCAAGAGCATCATCAGCGTCGCCGACCGCGCAATATGCAGCTTGTAGCGGTGGCCGAGGTAGAAGGCCTGAATGCGGAGCTTAAAGTAGCCAATCTCGACGGACGAGCTCGACGATTCATCGGCCGACGATCGGCCCCACCCGGCGCCGGGCGACGGCTTACTTCTGCTCGTGCCCGATGACGAGCCCGAGTCGACGTCCGAGTCGGTGCTGTCCAGCTCACGCGACCGCCGCTTGGCCGCCGCCGACGCGGCCTCGAGCTCCTCCACCGAGTACATGTCACCGTCGTAGTTGAGGATGCGAGCAAATTCTGCAAACGAGACCTGCCCGTCGTGGTCGGTGTCGGCAGCCGCCAGCATCTTGCGCAGCTGCGGCGCAGACATCTTTTTGCCCAGATGTGCCATGACCTTGCCCAGCTCGCCCTCGTCGACAAAGCCTGAGTTGTCGTCGTCAAAACCTTAAAGGCATCGTACAGCTCCGAGAGGTGGGTCTTCTGCGTCTCGATCATCATCTGCACAAACTCGGAAAAGTTGATGAGGTTGTCCGAGTCCATGTCTGCTGCGTCGAGCATGAGCTGCACATCGGCGGCCGAGTGGTCGGTCCCGAGCATCTCGAGCATCGACTTGAGCTCGCGCGCGTCAATGACTCCATCGCCGTCGCGGTCATACTGGTCAAACACCCGTCGGTACGACTTCATCCGCTTCCGCGGCACGTTGTACTTTTCGCGGATCTCATCGTCGGTCAGGTACATCTCCGACGGCGCTGTCGACGCTCCGCCACCGCTCCGCCGCTTGCGCTTCTGCTGAGACTTGGTGCTCGAGCTTGAGCTCGAGTCTGAGCTCGAGCCGGCCTTCATCGCCATGGCGGGCATCGGTCTCCTGCCCAAGCCCGAGCTGCTGCTCCCAGAGTAGCTACTGCCCGTCCTGCTACTGCCCGTCCCGCTGCTCCCAGTGCTACTACTTCCATACCCGCTACTTCCCGAGCTGCTTCCAGAACGAGAACTGCTCGAGTACCCAGAGCCACCACTCGAGCTTGATGACGATGATGAGCCCGAGGACGACATGAACAACTAGAGGTGGCTGTGGCAGGGGAGGGGGGGGGGGGGGGGAGGGAGTTACACTTGTCTTGGTGTAGTGGCTTGGTAGAGACGGTGGACAACTGAGACGAGGTTGTGTTGTGACGGTGAGGACTGCGGAGGATATGGAGTTTGACCTGCCTGTAGAGGCTGTGTGTGGGGGTGACGGAGTGGCGGTGTGGCAGGCCGACAGCCTCCCACACGACCGCCGTCATGCCTCGGTCCTTAAGGCTATTGTCGATGCCATGGGAGAGGCTTCTGCTGCGGTAAGTTGTTAGGGTGGGTGGTGGAGGATGGTAACGGGAGGGGAGAGGGAGAGGAGGGGGGAGGAGGGGGGGGGGGGC